TGCGTGTACGTGCGCGTGCGTGCGTGCGTGTGCGTGCGCGTGCGCGTGCGCGTGTGCGTGTGCGTGTGCGTGTGCGTGTGCGTGTGTGTGTGTGTGTGTGTGCGATTGCGTGTGTGTGTGTGTGTGCGATTGCGTGTGTGTGTGTGTGCGATTGCGTGTGTGTGTGTGTGTGTGTGCGTGTGCGTCTGCGTGTGCGCGTGCGTGTGCGTGTACGCGTGCGTCTGCGTCTGCGTCTGCGTGCGTGTGTGTGTGTGTGTGCGTGTGCGCGTGCGTGTGCGTGTGTCTGTGTTTGTGTGTATGTGCATTTGTGTGTGTGTGTGTTCGTGCGTGTGTGCGGGGGTCTTTGTCTACACCGTTTTTGTTGTTCATGTTCCGCATGTTGGGCTGCTAGGCGCCAGCTCGTGCTGGCTGGTCGTGGTGAGCCTTTGTTGCATTAGTTCCGGCTGGTATGGCGGTTGGTACAGTTATTTCAATTATGGTTTGCGCTCCGTTGTCTAGGAGTCGAACACCCATTTCAGTGATTCAGCGGCCGCCACTTCGCACCATATTGCTCGCGTTTCAGTTCATTTCGAGTTGAAGTGCCGCCTCGGATTTATGGCCGCTGCACGGTTCGCTTGGATTTACAGTTCCTCCTTGCACCACCCATCGTTGCATTTGACATTGTGCATGTTTTGTATACCCTGCCTTTGACACTGCTCGGTCGCAATTAGCATTTCCATTTGCCGTCGGCTTACATTGTGCGTGTCTGTGTGTGTAATGTTTCTCGTTCCGCCTGGCCGGGTTCCTTCCCCAGCGCCCCCCAGCCCCCCTCCTGGGGTGGTCTTCTCCGACGGCCGAGCGGTCGCGTGGAGGTCAGTTTGACCTCGGCACCACGGCCGCCCCGCTGCGCTGCCCGTCTCCATGTCGCGGTGGACTTGCCACACCCGCCGCTTGGCTCAGCCGCCCCCTGGCTGCCGCCCTCCCCCCTCCGCGACTGCCCCGCGGCCGCTGCTTCCCCGCCGCCCATGCGGCCCCCCCGCCGCGGCCTTGCCCTGCTCTGAGCGGGCCCGGCTTCTCCCTCCCGCCTGCGCCGGGCCTCCCCGTCCTCCCCACGTGCACTGCCGCCTAATTCGCATATGTATGCCACATGTGCTCTTTCCGCTAGCGCAGTCACTCTGCCGAGCTGCCGACGCAAAAAGTGTGTGTGTGTGTATGTGTATGTGTATGTGTATGTGTGTGTATGTGTGTATGTGTGTATGTGTGTGCGTGTGCGTGTGCGTGTGCATGTGCGTGTGCGTGTGCGTGTGCGTGTGCGTGTGCGTGTGTGTTGTGTGTGGGTTGTGTGTGTGTGTGTGTCTGTGTGTGTTTGTGTGTCTTGTGTGTGTCTTGTGTGTGTGTTGTGTGTGTGTGTCTTGTGTGTGTGCGTCTTGTGTGTGTTTTGTGTGTGTATTGTGTGTGTCGTGTGTGTGTCGTGTGTGTGTTTGTGTTTGTGTGTGAGTCTGTGTGTGTATGCCTGTGTGTGTGTCTGTGTGTGTGTGTGTCTGTGTGTGTGTGTGTCTGTGTGTGTCTGTGTGCTTCTGTGTGCCTCGGTGTGCCTCTGTGTGCCTCTGTGTGCCTTTGTGTGCCTCTGTGTGCCTCTGTGTGCCTCTGTGTTTCTTTGCCTCTGTGCCTCTGTGCCTCTGTGCCTCTGTGCGTTCGTGCCTCTGTGCCTCTGTGCCTCTGTGCCTCTGTGTCTCTGTGTCTCCGTGTGTCTGTGTGTCTGTGTGTCTCAGTGTTTTGTGTGTCTCTGTGTCGTTGTGTCTCTGTGCCCCTGTGCCTCTGTGCCTCTGTGCCTCTGTGCCTCTGTGCCTCTGTGTCTCTGTGTCTCCGTGTGTCTGTGTGTCTCTGTGTCTCTGTGTTTTTGTGTCTCTGTGTCTCTGTGTCTTTGTGTCACGGTGTCTCTGTCTCTGTGTCTCTGTGCCTCTGTGCCTCTGTCTCTGCGTCTCTGCGTCTTTGCGCCTCTGCGTCTCTGCGTCTCTGCGTCTCTGCGTCTCTGTGTCTCTGTGTCTCTGTGTCTCTCTGTCGCTGTGTCGTTGTGTCTCTGTGTTTCTGTGTCTCCGTGTGCTGTGTCTCTTTGTCTCTGTGTCTCTCTGTCTCTGTGTCTCTGGGTCTCTGAGTCTCTGTGTCTCTGTGTCTCTGTGTCTCCGTGTGTCTGTCTGTGTGTCTGTCTGTGTGTCTGTCTGTGTGTCTGTCTGTGTGTCTGTTTGTGTGTCTGTCTGTGTGTCTGTCTGTATGTCTGCCTGTGTGTCTGTCTGTGTATCTGTGTGTCTGTGTGTCCGTGTGTGTGTGTGTGTGCGCG